AGTGATTATAACAATAACAATGATGATAACAATAATCATTTAGATAATAATGATAATGATAATAGAGATAATTATAATGGTAATATATAAATATAGGGCTAATAATGATGATAATGATGGTAACGATGATAATAAAACTATAGTAATGATACTATTACTGATAATAATGGTGATGATAATGATAATAATGGCAACAATGATAATAACAAATGGTATAAAGATATCATTATCATTAATCTTATTATAAACGTCACCTAACAATGATAATGAAAACGGTGGCGATAATAGCAACATTTATAATAGCAGAAGTAGTTGGAAAGTTGAGGCATATTTTGTAGCCAAGCAGTAAGCCTTTGTGAACAGACTGATAGTAAGACCGAGGTTAATTCTAGTTTGGCAAAACTGATACAAGAACTGCATCCTAATAACACTAGCAATGGATGACAGGACAACCATTTTTTATAAACTGGTCAAATAGTACATGGTATTGTACATAGTGCCTGATAGTATCAATATTTACTACTTATTTATTTATTTTTTTTATGATATCTTCTAGGGCGATGACAAAATCACTGAAGGAACAGGTCAGTCTTATCCTATCGTCATTCTTTTCTTCATTATTCCAGTAAGGTGCCAGAGAGAATGATAATAATAATGTTTATTATAATAGTAAAAATGACACTACTACTATTAAGAATAATGATAAAGATAATAGTAAGTATGATAATGGTGATAATAAGTAGAATCATGATAATGATAGTAACAAGAAAACAACAAAGATTTCGATAGTAATCATAATATAACGACAATAATGAAAATGGTAACAGTAATAGTGATTATAACAATAACAATGATGATGATAATAACAATAATAATCTAGATAATAAAGATAATGATGATAATAATGGCGATAATGAATATATCGTTGATAATGATAATAATGGCGATAATGAATATATCGTTGATAATGATAATAATGCTAATGATAACATATAATGCTTATGATGGTGACGATGGTAATATAATCATAATAGTAATGATAATACAATAATGGTGATGATAATAATAGCAACATTAATAACAAAAAATGGTATAAAGATGGTAATGAATATCATTAACCTTAGTATAGACGTTACCTAACAACAATAATGATAACAGTGGCAATAATAGGCAACATTAATAATGACAAATATTAGCTTGAAAAATTATGTACCGACATGAGGCATGTTATGCAGCCAAGCAGTAAGCCTTTGTGAACAGACTGAAAGTAAGACCGTGTTAATTCTAGTTTGGCAAAAGTGATACAAGAACTGCATCCTAATAACACTAGCAATGGATGACAGGACAAACTGGTCAAATAGTACAAGGACAAAAGTCATTGCCCATTGGATATATGTGTAAAAAAGGCTCTTTTATATGTAAATTACCTTTCCATTGTCCCCTCTCAACATCCTACAAGAATTTTATTACCATCATTTCAGATCAAGATTCCGACTCAGATATGGACTTGGAAGTGTCATTGGTCCTACTGAATGTTATCATCTCAATTTTCCTACTTGGGACCGTCTTCATTTAGGAAGCCAAATCATCAAGTTCCTTTGGAAAATCAAGTCATCAAGTTCCTTTGGAAAATCAAGTCATCAAGTTCCTTTGGAAAATCAAGTCATCAAGTTCCTTTGGAAAATCAAGCCATCAAGTTCCTTTGCAAAATCAAGCCATCAAGTTCCTTTGGAAAATCAAGTCATCAAGTTCCTTTGGAAAATCAAGTCATCAAGTTCCTTTGGAAAATCAAGCCATCAAGTTCCTTTGGAAAATCAAGTCATCAAGTTCCTTTGGAAAATCAAGTCATCAAGTTCCTTTGGAAAATCAAGTCATCAAGTTCCTTTGCAAAATCAAGCCATCAAGTTCCTTTGGAAAATCAAGCCATCAAGTTCCTTTGGAAAATCAAGTCATCAAGTTCCTTTGGAAAATCAAGTCATCAAGTTCCTTTGGAAAATCAAGTCAAGTTCCTTTGGAAAATCGAGCCATCAAGTTCCTTTGGAAAATCAAGTCTTCAAGTTCCTTTGGAAAATCAAGTCAAGTTCCTTTGGAAAATCAAGTCAAGTTCCTTTGCAAAATCAAGCCATCAAGTTCCTTTGGAAAATCAAGCCATCAAGTTCCTTTGGAAAATCAAGTCATCAAGTTCCTTTGGAAAATCAAGTCATCAAGTTCCTTTGGAAAATCAAGTCAAGTTCCTTTGGAAAATCGAGCCATCAAGTTCCTTTGGAAAATCAAGTCTTCAAGTTCCTTTGGAAAATCAAGCCATCAAGTTCCTTAAAAAAGCCAAGGGATCTTACACACTGGGGGGTCTGGGGAAGGGGGGGGGAGGTGAGGGAGGAGCGCGAGACGGAAGGGGGAGGGAAGTAGGGGGATAGAGAGAGGTAGGGGGAGAGACAGAGAGAGAGAAAAGGTGGAAGGGGTAGGAGAGGAGAGAGAGAGAAGATGGAAGAGGTAAGAGAGGAAAGAGAGAGAGAGATAGAGAAGGTGGAAGAGGTAGGAGAGGAGAGAGAGAAGGTGGAAGAGGGAGGAGAGGAGAGAGAGAAATGGGAAAGGTAGGAGAGGATGAGGATGAGAAGAGAGAGAGAGAGAGAGAAGGTGGAAGAGGTAGGAGATTCAAATTCAAATTCAAATATTTGGTAATTTGTTCCAAATCATGGGTCCACGTGTAAGTGTCTCCCGTGCCCCTATATCTGTGCGTGATCTTGTGTTCGGACACAGGTTGTGTTTCCTACGGTTGGAAGGGTTAATAGCCATTCTGGATAAAGCCCTTGCATTATTTTGTGGATTAGTATGCAAGTGTCATAGTTATATTTGTGTTGTACTTTTAGCCAATTTAATTTGTTTATTTGTCGGGTAATGTGGTCATACTTATTGACATTACCAAGCGGTACTCTCGCAGCAAAGTTCTGTCATTTTTGGATTTTCTGAATGTGACCTTTGTTTGTTGTGCCCCAAATGTTAGAACAATAATTAATCGTACTGGGAACTAGTGGTTGTATTACGAATATCCTAGTTGCTTTTTATGTGGCCTAGGTAAATTAGCGTGCCCATTACTTTAATATGGATGTTGTCGACATGGTTCTCAAAGGTCATGAATCAGTCAATGTGTACGCCTTGTTTTTTTACAGAAGTGCTCGGTCTTATGTAGCTGTCTTCAAGAGAGAAGAGAGAGAGAGAGAAGGTGGAAGAGGTAGGAGAGGAGAGAGAGAGAAGTGATAGAGGTAGGAGAGGAAAGAGAAAGAGAGAGAGAGAAGGTGGAAGAGGTAGGACAGAAGAGAGAGGTAGGAGAGGAAGAGGATGAGAGAGAGAGAGAAGGTGGTAGAGGTAGAAGAGGAGAGAGAGAGAGAAACGAGAGAGGTAGGAGAGGAAGAGGATTAGAGAGAGTGAGAGAGATAAGGTGGAAGAGATGGGAGAAGAGAGAGAGAGAAGGTGGAAGAGGTAGGAAAGGAGAGAGAGTGAAGGTGGAAAAGGTAGGAGAGGAGAGAGAGAGAAAGAAAAGTGAGAGAGGTAGGAGAGGAAAAGCATGAGAGAGAGAGAGTGAAGGTAGAAGAGGTAGGAGAGGAGAGAGAGAGAGAAGTGAGAGAGGTAGGAGAGGAAGAGGATGAGAGAGAGAGAAAAGGTGGAAGAAGGGCGGAAGGAAGGGAGAGAAAGAGGAAAGTAAAGAGGAGAGAGGGATAGGAATGCAATATTTTTTGTTGTTTGTTTGCTTATTTGATTGTTTTGCAGAACAAAATGGTACAATTCATTTGGAATACAGATTGTGAGGATAAGGATTCAAACAAGTTGGTTTCAGAATTAAATTGATGTGTTCCGCTTATGTCAATAGAGCCTCATCTGAATATTTGTTGTTATTTTCTACCTTAGATCTTAATATAAACAAAGCTAAAAGGCTTTATTAAACCAAGGACATATGTGTGCATATATGCGTATTTACGTGAGTATCCTTCCGTGCGTGATTGGGCGTCAACAGGAAAGGCCCTAAGATAGTATACGGACATAAACAGGATGCAGGAGAGAGATAGATCATGAAACAAAAGCGGGAAATAATTCTGTCCCAGTCTTTCTGCACCCTGGTGGAGAGAAATTCTAAACAAATATATCGTTATTCTACTTATTACACACACACACATGCACACACACACACACACACGCACGCAAGTACACATACACACACATGCACACACACACATACATACATATATATATATATATATATATATATATATATATATATATATATATATATATATATATATATATATATTTGATTTGGGTTATAAATGCTGAGAGACGAGTGCGACAAAATGATTACATGTACTTCTCCCTCTTTGCGAGAATGGGTTAACAAATTCGTTATTTAATGACAAAAGGTGGACCACGTCACTGTTTGCCACACCTTTTTGCATACATATGTACTACTGTTATTTTCATTTTCTAACTCCCTTAGATAATCTCATGTTCCTGGGAGTTTCTCGGGGTCAAATTTAATGCGTCTTGCACATTCTGCCCGACTGTTGACATATGCTGTTCTTGTTCTACCCTGCACAGGATACATACTTTGATAACACAATCTACATTACATTTCTGAGTAAAGATGTGCCTCGCTCGGATAAGGCACGTACTTCCATATGGCTTGTGGCAAGAGAAGACGAACCACGTATATTCTATGATCAAAAAGGCAATATCAAACGCGCTTCCTTCCTCGGCGGTCTATGCCTCGCTCTTTGCCGCCGCCTCCTTGCCCCACGGAGTGATAGTATTTTCGCTTATGCCCACGGTAGTTTCTCGTTTTGCGCAAGAAATCGTTTATCTTTGATCTTCTGAAAGCGTTTCTCATTATTTGCTAGATATTTTTTTTCATCTCTCAGTGCTGTCCCCTTTCTTTCTTTGTCTATGTTTCACTCTTTTTAGTTGTTCTTTTCATATTACCTTTTTACCTTCTTATCATTTAAATCTCTCTTCCTTTTCTCATTCCTTCTCTGATTTACATCCTATCTGCTAACTTTTATTGCTCTTGTTTTATTTTTTTTATTATTTTATTATTATTATTATTATTATTATTATTATTATTATTATTTTACATTAATATTCATATATCTTTTTCTTTTTATCGTACTTTTATGAATTTTCTTTTCTCTTTTATAGTTTGAAATTCCATTCTGCCTCTCTCTCTCTCTCTCTCTCTCTCTCTCTCTCTCTCTCTCTCTCTCTCTCTCTCTCTCTCTCTCTCTCTCTCTCTCTCTACTTCTATCATGATACCAACAATGGCCATAGCGAAAAAGATAATATCGATAGCGATTGTGATAATGCTACTAATGAGTTACTAAGTTTTGCTTTAGGATAGCAGCGTTGCATTGTTTCATATAGAGATCTCGATTTGAAACAGATATATATCCTAACAAAAATGTTCCCCCTAAAAGTTATTCGTTTTCTTTGAACACAATCAAGCGTTATCGTTTTCTTTAAAGACTAAACAAATATGGGTAACTAATCTATAAGTTTCCTAACGTATTAGACATAAGAGGAGAATTAAGTTAATGATATAAACGTATACATTTGTATCTGTTCTCCAAATCAATAATTATCATCATTATTATTATTGTTATCACTATTATTACTATTAATGTTGTTGTTATCATCATTATTCTCCTCGTTTCAGCTATAATTCTTATCATTAATATTCATTAATAATGGATGTAATTAAATTGATAGTAATAATAACATTGATGATAATGATAATAAGAGTGATAATAACAATAATAATAATAATAATCAGAATAATAACAATGATAAGATTAATGATTAAAATGGTAAAAGTAATAATGATGACAATAACAATAATAATAATGATAATGGACATAACGTAAATGATAATAATATTGATAATAATGATACTGATAATTATAATGATAATGATAGTAATAATAATAATAATGTTATTATTATTATTATAATTAATACAGTGGTACAGTGGTAACGCGCGCGGCTGTGGGCCGGAGGGTCCGCAACCGCACGGGTTCGAATCCCGGCCACGGTCCGAGGTTAGGAAGGGCATCCACTCGGGGTAACGGTCTCCACCTGCCAATTCCTGTGTGTCCTTCACGGGGCATGCCTGTCCTACCCCTTGTCCAAAAAGGGGAATTTCGTGAAGCTAACCCCCCCCCCCCCCCCCAAAAAAAAAAAAAAAAAAAAAAAATCCTCATCTTTATCATGATATAATGATTATCACAATTATTATTTTTGTTGTTGTTCATGTTGTTATAGTTGTTGCTGCTGCTGTTATTGTTATTATTATCATGGTTATTATTATCATTATTATTATTATTATTATTATTATTATCATTATTATCCTCATTATCATTATTATTTCTACTATTTTAATTATCATTATGATAATGATGATGATGATGATGAAAAAGATGATGGTGATGGTGATGATGAGGAGGAGGAGTAGTATGAATAATAAGAGTAGTAACTAAAAATAATACTAATAATGACAATAATGATATTAATAATATTAATAATAATAATAATAATAGTAATAATAACAATAATAATGATAATGATAATGATAATGATAATGATAATAATAATAATAATGCTGATTATGATAATAGTAGCAATTACAATAATAACTGACGTCACTAATCATATATACGTACACATAATGATAATGAAAATGATAATGAAAATGATAATGATAAAAAGAATAAAAGTAATAATAGTAATAATGGTCATATTAATGATAATAATATGTATTACTATTACTATTTTTGTTATTATCCTCATTATCATCATCATTTCTGTTAAAATTATTATAATAATTATCATTATTATTGATTTATAATAATAATGTACATAATTATATTGACCATAATATTAATGTATATAATTATATTGAAGATGATGATATTTTTTAGATAAATGATACAATTAATAAATAACGATATTGATAATAATTGATAACATTGATTATAATAATAATGATAATAATAATAACAAAGAAAATAAGAATGATAATATTAATGATAACAATGATAATAATAATAATAATAATACTAACTACAATAATAACAAAAAAAAATACAATGTAAATAATAATAATAATGATGATAATAAAAAAATGATAATGATAATGATAATAACACCAATATCAATAATATTGATAACAATAATAATAATGATAATAAGAATAATGCCATTGATAAAACACTAATGATAATAATACCAATAATCAAAATAATAATAACGTCAACAATAATAACTATCATTATGATCATTATCATCATCGTTATTATTATTATTATTATTATTATTGGTATTGTTATTATTATAGTTATCATTCTTATCAATATTGGTATTATCATTATCATTATTACTATTATCATCACCTCTTTATCACAATAATAATGATGATAATAATGATATTGATATTAATATTGATAATATTGATATTAATAATAATAATATTAATGATAATAATAATGATAGTAATAATAGTAATGATAATGATAATAATAATAATAATAATAATAATAATAATAATAATAATAATAATAATAATAATAATAATAATAACAATAACAACAATAATAACAATAATAACAATAATAATAATAATAATGATGATAATAATAATAATGATTATAATAAAGATGATGATGATGATGATAATGATAACTATAATAAAATTAATAATAATAATATTAGTAATAATAATGATGATAATAGTAATTATAATGATAATAATAATAATAATGATGATAATAAGGATAATAATAACAGTAGTGAGAATAGTAATGATAATAGTAATAATAATAATAACAATATTAATAATAATAATAATGTTAATAATAAGAATAATATCAATGGTAATAATATTTAAAAAAATAATAACAATAATGATAATAATAATAATAATAATAATCATAACAATACTACTACTACTACTACTACTAATAATAATAATAATAATGATAACCATAATAATGATAATGATAATAATAATGAAAATAATGATAATATTGATGTTAATGATAACAATAATGATAATGATAATGATGATAATAATGACGATGATGATGATGATGATAAATAGTGCGACTAATAATAATGACAATAGTAAAACTATTTACTACTACTGATGATGATGATGCCATTGGCAATATAAACAATAGCAATAAAGATAATAATATTAACGACGATAATCAAACAACAATGATTGATAATGATAAAGATGATAATGGTCATAATGATGATAATGATGATAATAATAATGATAATAATAATAATTATTATTATTATTGTTGTTGTTGTTGTTATTACTATTATTATCATTATCATCATTTCATCATTATTATCATCATCATCATTATCATTAGCACCATCATTGTCTTTATTATGCATATGATTGAAATGATCGTAACTATATTATTGAATAAATTGTAAGGATAATAATGATAATGATAATAATGATATTAACTAATATAACTGACAATAAAGATTATAATAACGGTAATATTAATGATGAAGATAAAATGATAATGATAATAATACTAATAATAGTAATAATAATAATAATAATAATAATAATAATAATACCAATACCGCAAAAATAATGATGATAATAACAGGAATAATAATAGTAATAATAGTAATAATAATAATAATAATAGCAATGATAATAATGAAAAAAAATAATAACGCTAATAATGATAACAGTAGTAATGCTAATAATAATAATGAAAATAATAATAATGATAACAATAATAATATTGATTATGATAACAATGATAATGATAATAATAATAATAATAATAATAATAATAATAATATAAAT